TTTCCCTGTCAAGAACACTGATCAAAACAAGACTGCCAACAAGTCTGTAGGATGTTTCTGACTCCATGACACTTGTTTCCACAGTGAATAAATTCTTGTCGTTGCCATCAATAATAGAGTATTCAACATACGTGTTTTCATGTGTCCAGTCATTGTCAATGACTGAAAACATGAGGACACTTTCTCCAACTGTGGCATTCTCACTCACACTGAGATTGTACAGAACCTGTGTGAACTGAGGGGCATGGGTATTTACATCTTCTACATGCACTTCTACAGAAGTGACTGCACTCAGAGCCGGACTGCCACCATCCGTGGCTTCTATCAGGAGCTGAATAATGGAAATCTTTTCCAGTTGTGTCACTGGTCCCGTAGCAAACACTGAACCTGAAAATAAAACAAAATTAATAAAAGCTAACACTTCGCACTCTCTAAGGCAAGTAAATGTGATTCAAAAAGCTGTAGCTATTTAATTGTACTTGAAAATGACTCAACTATAATGTCTGCATACCCCAAAGTAATTCTCTTGCATCCAAAGAGTAGTGGGTCAATGGCTCAAGGTCTGGGTACAAAACACTGATGAGTGGTGTCCCCCAGGGTGTCTGTATTGAGACCAGTACTGTTTAATATTATCATCAGTGACATAAACAGTGGGATCAGGTGCACCTCAGCAAGTTTCCCGATGACATAAAGCTGTGTGGTGCAGTTAACACTCCTAATGGACAGGATGCCATCCAGAGGGACCTAGACAAACATGAAAGTAGGCCCATGTGAACCTTATGAAAGTTAACAAGCCCAAGGTCCTGCACGTGGGTTGGGACAACCCCCAGTATCTATCTAGGCTGGGGGATTGAGAGCATCCCAGTGGAGAAGGACTTGGGGGTACTGCTGGATGAAAAATGGGTATGAGCTGACAATGTGCACTCGCAGCCCAGAAAGCTGCATCATGAGAAGCATGGCCAGCAGGCCAAATGAGGTCAAGGAAGGTGATTCTCCCTCTCTACTCCACTCTGGTGAGACCCCAACTGGAATACTGTGTCCACCTCTAGAGTCCTCAACACAGAAAACACTCATTGGATGTGGTCCAGATGAGGACCACAAAAATCATTAGAGGGCTGGAGCACCTCTTCTAGTAGGACAAGAGGTAATGTTTTTAAACTAAAAGAGGGTAGTTTCATACTAGATATAACTAAGGAATCTTTTACAATGAGGGTGGTGAAACAGTGGAACAGGGTGCCCAGAGAAGTTGTGAATGTTCCATTCCTGGAAAGATTCAAGGTTAGATTGGATGGGGCTCTGAGCAATCTGATCTAGTTGAAGTTGTCCCTGCTCATTGCAGGGGGCTGCACTAGGCGATCTTTAAAAGTCCCTTCCAACCCAAACTATTCAATGATTCTGATTCTACAAATCCTAGCTTATGCTGTAAAGCCAAGGCCTATCCATAATGAGGCAGTATCAAACACACATACTGCATTTAGACCAGCAAAAATTTCTCTTCCTAGTAACAGACTGAAGATGCAAAATACATAAAATAAAAAAGTAAACAAAGCTAAGGAAATAGGGGCTCCTTACTAGAGGCAGCTATGCTGTGCAAGTTCATTACTGAAGGTCATTAGTTCTGTTTTACTTGCAGCCCAGTAACAGCCTTATGGGCTTGTTTGTTATTTAGATAGGTTTGCCAATAAGTTATGTAAACATGTTTCATTCAAATCGTTCATCTGAACATGGGGGTTGGATGATCTTGAAAGGTCCCTTCCAACCCAAACCATTCAATGACTTTACGTTCATAAGCCATCTATTTCTACTTCACCCTTCACTGTGTATAGCTAAGCACCAGAGACAACAATTTTCTGATCGCAGTGGAAAACAGCCACTCGCAAAACATAAAGGCAGGCTACAGAATAAAAAAAATGGGTAAAAATGAAATCTGTTTTAACTGGGTGAAACATCTGTATTTCAGTGATTGCAGTTACCATCATCCAACAAACACTGCGTTCAAAAATTCACCTCATGTAAACACGTAGGAACAGCAAATAAGAGATAAGAACTTGCTCACTGAACAACAGTTGCACATAATTTTTGCAGCATCTAGTAATCTCTGAGGCTGATATTCCCAAAAATCTTATGTTCATATACATATAAAGAGACACACATATTTCCTTCTCCCAGAATGCTATGGTATTAGGCCAGAAAATTCAAATTGCTAAATCTTGTAACCACTGAAGAAAAAATTATGTACTTTGGAGAGAGTGTTCTCAATTTAGAAAAATTTTATATTCCATTTACAAGATTACAAGATAACATAAGCTCTGTAAAGATGCAATATTAAAAAAATACTAAGCTGTAGAGAAGCTCCATTATGACAGGTTCAACTTACACTGAAAAAATAGGAAGTATGAACTTAAATTGAATTAAATCTAATACATGAGCTGAAATGTTATGAATCAATGCAAAACATACAGTAACTTTTCTATCAAAGCACACCAAAGGAATAGCACCTATAGGATGTTGTGGCTGCTTGCCTTCTGCATGGTTCAGGGACAAACTGAGAACTCCAGCCCCCAATGCAATCAGTTCTTCAGTGATAATGGCAGATTTAGACAAAACATATAGTGGACTTTTGCCTCCAAAGATTTCCAGAACACATGTGATCACTGGCAACTGATGAGGACGTACAATAGGACTGCTCAATTCGCACTGAAAAAGCTGAAGTAATAAACCATGCTTACAGACTCACCATTCTTGTGGTCAATGGAAAATCCCTCAGTAGAAGAGAGGATTTTGTAGGAAATCACTCCATTTTGCTCTGAATCCCTATCCACAGCAGAGACTATCAGAACAGTGCCATCCATAGAAATGCGCTCTGGCAAGCTCACCTGACATATAAAGCAAAATTACAGTTTTGATAGAGTTTAATAAAAGATTTTGAACATTAAAAAAATGTGTTTTCCTTCACTTGGATTTCATTAGGAGAAAACTAAAAAAAAAAACCCAAACACAGTTCCCAGGTTTGGAAAAAAATCACCTGTTTTCTTCTGGGACAAAACTTTAAAGAGTTGAGATATTGAAAATGGTGCATACAATACAGCCAAATCTTATAGTAAACTAAAACCAGCAGTAAAACCCATCTAGTTCTAGTTCATTATGACAATAAGTTCAGAGACTCACTGAATCTCTTTTTTCAATAGAGGGTAATGGAAAGAATACCTACAATAGACTGGAACTAAAATTGGCTTTACTCCCTACTTGTAGAATCACCTTGATTGTTGTACACAGAATACAGTCTGCAGTCACCATCTCTAGTACATGATTGACCATTACAAAAAACAACATGCATGCCCTGAAAATTCCAGCAGATAATAGCACTTAAACATCACTGGATTATTCCCAGAATTTAGTTTTTCAAAATGCTCCCTTTTTCTCTTCATGTAATGTAGAAAACCAGCAAAATCCTTTCCCTTCTTAAGAGCGTCCATTATTTGAAATCTAGATACTGTACTTTTGTGTCCAAAGTTTCCTTCCATCTTATAAATCCAGTTTCAAATGAACAGTATGATTCAGCAGCTACCTTTGTCATAATTTCAAGTGTTAGTTTAAATCATTTTAGCAGAGAGTGTGTATGTATATAACAGCCATAAACATATATGAAACTATATAGAAAAGTATAAATATTAAAACACTTGAAAGGACAATAAAAGGGTAAAAATTACAGGATGATGAATAGAGAATTATATGCACCATCGACCAAAAAGAAGCAGTGTACCTTACCCTGCAAGCAACACATCAAAACATAAGGATTGTGGGGAGAGAAGCTCAGCTGTTTATGTTAGCATGGTCAATAGAGCTGCACTGTTTTGCATCAGTTAATAATCCTGCCTGTAATGACTGCTCTGATCTACAGAAAAATTCCTAGCACTTGCACAAGCACGTACTTGTCTAAACTATTCTCCAAAATCAGACACAGATGGGGGTGTGGAAAACTTAAGGCAAGGTCTAAAAATGACTTGAGCAATAATAGTGCTTCTTTTTGTTTTTTCCAGAACTTAGACTTATGAGTTTAAGTGGGCAATTTACACAAATCCTGACAACTCAGGCACCTGAAAGTTTCACAGGTGCCTACAGTCTGCCCTATACTTAGATAAGTGACTAAACTGCTGTGACTTCACATGCTCAAAGGTTGAAATTTCCTTACTAAGACAAATGTTTAGACTTATTTCTTGACTAAATCTGTCTGAGATTTATAAATGAAGCAGTAGTAAATCCACCACTTCTGTGGTGCCTCATATTTTTGGCTCTGAGCACATCTACCACACACAGAAAGCACCAAGTCAAGCAAACAGCTCAGTTCACACGATCACAGAATGGCTGAGGCTGACAGGCACCTCTGGAGAGCATCTTTTCCAGCCCTTACTCAGAGCAGGGTCACTATAGCAGGGTGCCCACGACCATGTACAGTTGAGTTTTGAATACCTCCAGGGATGGAGAATCCACAAACTCTCTGGGCAACCTGTACCACTGCTTAGTCACTGTCAGAGCTCAAAGGAAACATAAAAGTTTTCCCAGATGTTTGAACAGAATATCCTGTATGTCAGTTTGTGCTCACTGCCTCTTGTCCCGTCACTGAACACCACACAGGAGAGTCTGGCTCTGTCTTCTTTACTCCCCCCACTAATATTTACACACATTGGTAAGATCATCTTAGATGACCCTTCTATTTTCTAGGCTGAATTATCCATGTTCTAGATTCTCTTGGTCCTGAGCCCAAGCCGCACAGCTTAGCCCCACACAAGTCCTAAGGAAACAACTCCTCTGGCAGCCTCACATTTCCTATGGAGCCTAACCTCACCTGGAGCTCCAGATTTTGTCTGTCTCCCATCCCTAACCACAATTCCAAGCTGTTACATGTGCTGGGACTTAGCTCAAGCCCCACAGCCTTAGGACTGATGAAGTCAGGGCAAAATCCTTTTAGCAGCCTACCCTTCAGAGCTTTGTAGGATATTATGCTTGCTTCGGCAGCACCTATGCTAAAATTGAAATGACACAGATTAGCATGGTTCCTGTGCAAGGACAACACCCAAATTCATGAAGCATTTCATATATTTTATTTTTTTAGGGATCTGGAGGTGCTGGTTGACAGCAGGCTCAGTATGAGTCAGCACTGTGCCCTGGCAGCCAAGATGGCAAACTGCACCCTGGGGTGCATCAAACACAGTATAACCAGCTGGTCAACAGACATGATTATCTTACTCTATTCGGTATTGGTGTAGCCTATGCCTTAAATACTGTGTGCAGTTCTGGGCCCCACAGTATAAGGATGTGAAGCTGGTGAAAAGTCTGGAAGGCATGTCCTACGAGCAGCAACTAAGGACTTTGGGCTTGTCTAGTTTGGAGACAAGGAGAGTGAGGGGTGACCTCATCACTCTCTACAGCTTCCTGAGGAAGGTACATGGAGAGGGAGGTGCTGAATCTCTTTTGCCTGTGTTCCATTGACAGGACACATGGGGATGGTTCAAAGCTGCACTAGGAGAAGCTGAGGCTAGACATTAGGAAGCATTTCTTTACCAAGAGGGTGGTCAAGCACTGGTATAGGCTTCCTAGAGAGGTGGCCAATGCCCCAAGCCTGTCAGTGTTTAAAAGGCATTTGGACAATGACCTTAACAACATGCTTTAAGTTTTGGTCAACCGTGAATTGGTCAGTCAGTTGGACAAGAAGATTGCTGTAGGTTCCTTCCAACTAAATATTCTATTATATTCTACTCTATACTATTCCTATTCTACTCATGCTGCAATTCCCTTAATTGTCTTAGTGGCCCATAGTTGTCCATGTCACTAAACCAGATTTGTTTCAAAACACTGTTGGACAACGACTCCTACAACAGTCTAGCATTTCAAATGCTTGTCCAGAAGTCTAAAAGCTGAGCCTTGTACCCTTCTCAGTCTAGTAGGGAATGTTGGGGAGGTCAAAATTCACATGCCTCAATCTCTGGATGAGTGCCATTGTGATGAGGCAGGGTTACATATTACAAACTACATGTGCATAATCTACCACAGGGACATTTGCTACACCTCTGTGGAGCCGTCTAACTGAAATGGTAGAAATTCATGACATAGTAAAGGGGCCAGAATAAATGTACCAACTTGTTTACCATTGTCTCAGAAGACGGAGTTCTGAGCACTGCACCCTGTTCCCCAAACTGGTTTGAATTGTCTCTAGTAACTTCTAGTAATGAATGAGTGGTAATGGAGTACAGCTAGCATACACACCACTTTTCTTCTGAAGTCAGAAACCACAAACATGAAAACTGAACAATTCCCTCAGTCCTTTTAGCAGAATTCCCAGGAAGGGGCTGGAGTTTCCCAGAAGAGCTCTGCTCTGTTTCTGCTCAGTAATAATTTGGAGAGACCCTTCTTCTCAGTGTTCAAATGTTTATAACACAAACATAAACAAGACAAATATAAGCACTCCTACTATTTATCATCATATAAAGACAGACATCACATATTTGTTGTCCATTTGCCATGTTCCCACCTGATATGAATCCTGAGTGAACACTGGTGGGTTATCATTGACGTCCAAAACAAGGATGGTAAGTTCTGCTTCTGTTTGATGTACAGAATCTGAAACTGTAATTCTCAGCTTATACACAGCAGTTTCTTCAAAATCTAATGGTTCCACCACTCTGATTACACCAGTGTGTTGATCCATGGAAAATTTCATTCCAAGACTATTATCGTAAATAAAACCAAACCGAAGTGCTGGGCTTGAGTCCACATCATTTGCTGACACCTGAGTCACTATAAAACCAGGTAGGGCATCTGAAACAATAATTTTCAGAGTAAGTCATAGTTAAAAGATGATGTTACAGTTTCTGAAGATTTTGCCAATTTTGTAATATTGCATCTTAGATATATGTAATCTTTGCGTATTAGCTTTTGGTGTATTTTGACTTTGTGTTTTAGAGTAACAGCAATATCCAGAAACACTATGGAAACAGCAGTAGATTTCTTCAAATACATCTACTTTATCTCAATTTTAATTCAGGTCTTCAGACTTCCGCGGATCCAGTGTAGACATAACCAGCAACAGGCACTTGCATGGTCTTCCACAAGCATTTAGGTGATGTTAATTTATTGAACAGTGTTACAGACTTCCACAAGAATATTTAACTGGGGCCTCAGAGTCTCCTGGTCTGTGTAGAACCAGTGATGCAATTCTTGAGCTTTTCCAAAGGAGAAAGCTGACAGAGAGAAATGAGATCTCCAGCAAACCTATGTGGCATAAAAATTTTAGGAGCTCAAGGTATAGTCTTGGCTGAGAAACTGGATACAGACAGCTTTTGTCATGTGCCAAATTGACAGTACCAGGGATTGCAAACTGAACTTATTAGTGATCATCTAAAAAACCCTGGAGCTAACAGAAACTGAACCATTTCTCATTTGCATGCCTGGGGCGTTAAGCCTAAAACATGCTGTGCAATGTCCTACAGTAAGTATTCTTAAACAGAATACAAAAACCTGAATAAGTAGCAAATGGTTCAGTTGCTGTGCACCCATGACTTCCATACTTGTCATTATCATTGGCAGCTGAATTTAGGAAAGGCTAAAAAAATATCAATAGAAAGATAGCCTTGATGTTTTTTGTTAGCAGGAGTACTGGAATTTCAGCACCTAAATCTTTATAGCATTTCTGTGGTGTATCTTAATGCATCACAGGTATAATGCCTGTATTTAAAAATACCAGGCTTAAGACTCCAGGTCTGCAAATGTTGAGCTACTGTCACACAACATACCAGATGTATGAGGTGGGAACTCAGGAGGTACTGGGTCCCCTTCTTTATGATCATAAACTGGATCAAGCTATAGAACATTTTTATACTCCATTCAAATTTACAGAAATTATTTCTTTCATGACAATGAAGTCCAAAATGTCTAATTTCTAGCAATGCTGGGTTTAACACCAAGTATTTTCATTGGAGAAAAGCAGAAACTGAAGACATCTGAAGAATACTATGCAGGAGTCCAAAACGAAGAGATTACAGACATAATTTTGTAGTTTGTTTCCCTCTTTCTGAATTGCCTATGGTTTTGTTCCAAACAATTCTTAAACACAATGTCTGAAGATTAAGAATAATGCCTCTGAGAACAAAAGCAGATATTTTGGTATTAATACGATCCATTATGCTTTTTACTACAGTTGCTTGGTTACACCAATCACCAAAAGCACTATCACCTGAGAACTCCCAGTCCTAACAAAACTTAGCTGTACTATCATACTTACCTTCTGGGACCTCCACTTCACTCAGTGGTCGGACAACTGGAGCATTGTCATTAACATCCAATACTTGTATCTGCACAATAGTTGTAGCAGAAAGTCTGGGGTTTCCTTTATCAGCAGCTTGTACAACCAGCCTACAATTATAGGAAGCAGTAATTTTCACTACTGGTCAGAAATCACTGAATTACCCACTGATGTTATAAGCAGGGGAAAAATTAAAAACTAAAAGGTTAGCCCTTTCTGCCCCTCATTGCAGCTCTTCAATTCCATCTTTCTGTGACGTTGACTGTCTGGAGTTTTATTTTTTTTGTCTTGCAGGAAAAATGTCCAGGAGATTATAGATGGCAAGACCGTGACAAAATAATACAAAAAAGAGAAAGTATTAATTTGTATTCGTTTCACCCAATTTCATACCAAATGAAATAAAACAAGCTATCAAGACTCTTTCAAATAAGACATATTTCTCCAGATGGTAATTCAGAGCAGGAATTAAAACTTAAGTACTAAATTGTCCTCTGGAGGAACCTGACTGTCCTCATTGTTTACAAAGGGACAACAGGAATGTGAAAATTGGGTAAGATAAAAACATACAAAGTAATACTCAGCCAAACATCTGCAGAGACACAGAATAGTCCCCCTTTTAAATTACAAATATAAGTGATAAAGTGAAAAAACAGGATACATACACCATTTGACATTTGCAAAGTTCTCACTGATTTTAGTGGGACCACAGTCTCACTGTCAGATTGAGAGAGTTTGCCTGTACACTTCCATTTTACACCTGCATAAGGATGGGTTGTAGATTCTCTTAACAACCTTAAAATTTCCACAAACAGTGGAGCAAAAAAAAAAAAAAGGTTAGTAATGACTGATAAATTTAGGTAAAAGGATGCTTATTCTCTGTGAGAACTATCCTCTGAACAGCAAAGAGCAAATGTTTAGTGTAAGCAGGAATTTGTTGGAAGACCACTCTTCAATATTAAAAATTACCCAGAAGGGAATTAAAAATTAAATCTAGCTCAACAAGCTCAACAAGTGGGCTAAACAAACCCTAAAACCAACCACCCAGCTATGCAAAAGGATATACAAGTCAGAGCTTGGCATCTGAATTAAGTATTTTGTGTACTAGCAAATGCCTGTATGTTGCATGATATTTTCTGTGTCTTTCTGCAAATATCCTGAATGCTTTGTATCTCCTTCTTTATTCTAATTCAGTTTCTGTTTAAAGTGTCAAATAGATGTTACTTCTTATATGTTCATAGGACAATACGGAATACCAAGGCAGTTACTTAAGTGGATTGCAGCACTTCCATTCCAGAATCACACTAGCTGTGGTTTGGTGTTTCCTCACGGTTTCTGATGCCAACTGAACATATAACTCAAATTGCAGGCTAGTATTCAAACAATAACCATGCATAATTCCATATAGAAAGTGAATTTTTGTAGAATAAATATTGGTAAAGTATACATATGGAAATATTTTACTAAAAAAAAAATCACGTTCTAAGGGAAAAAAACCCTCATAAAAAAATCTCAGCCAAGGCATTAAAATTAAGGTTCTGTCAACACTTTCCTTATAACTCCTATATAAGGGACTTAGAACTTATGGAAATGAAAATGTTCAATTTATAGATAAAATAAACAACTCCTTGCAAGTTTGAAACATTTTTGTTTCGTAACATTTTGAAATTAAACAGGAAAATGGTTTTGAAAGTTTCTGTTGCTGTTCACATTTCACCTAACAATGTACAGATTAATAACATATTAATAAAGAGAAGGAACATAAAACTTCGAATTCCTTGAACAAACTGTCAATTTAAAAGGCTA